CACACACACACACACACACACACACACACACACACACACACACACACACACACACACACATCTATATATATATATATATATATATATATATATATATATATATATATATATATATATATATATATATATATATATATATAATATATATATATATATATATATATATATATATATATATATATATATATATATATATATATATATATATATATATATATATATATATTACACACACACATGAATAAACAAAAATGTGTAAACTGACATAAAGACGAATGAAGATGGAAGAAAAGAAGAAAGAACTACGAATAATAAGGAAACCCAAGAGAAAAGAGAGAGGAGAAAGAGATGAAAATATTTAGACAAAGAAAAAAAGGAAAAGGGCCTTAATTTGATAAAAGCGTGAGGGGAGAAAGCAATTAGTTTGAGATCTACGAAAAAGAAAGAAGAGAAAAGAAAAAAATCAAAAGAGAGAGGAAGGGAGAGAATAGGAAAAATCACAAGAACAAAAATAACTGGATGATATTAAGCTGACAAAAAAGAAGAGAGGATACAAAATGAAAGAAATAGAGAGAGAAAAAAAAAGGAATTACCAACTAGAATTACAGAAAAAAAAAACAGAAAAAAATAAAACGTCAAATCAAATAAAATTGCATATTACTCTACGACAAAAAAACACGATAATGAAAGCAAAGAAAAACGATTTACACACACAAAAAAGACAACAAAGCAACACGAAAGAAATAACGAAACGCCATTAAACTAATCAAATAACAATAAAACAATGTATAAAGAACGACATAATAACAACAAGGTTTAATACGTCCTCATATTAAGACACAGACCAACGATCCTTCAAGAGAAGCTGCTCGAGTGTGTGATGGAGGGGGAGGTGAGGGGGGTAGGAGGGGGTAGGAGGTAGCAGGATTGGAGGAGGGTGGGGAGTAGGAAGGAGGGGGAGGGAGGAAGGGTAGGATGGGGTGCAGGATTGGGAGGGGGTGGGAGGATGGGGATGTGGAGTGGGGCAGGATTGGGGAGGAGGAGGGGAAGGAATAAGGGGGGGGAGGAGGGCTGAAGGTGGTCGCGAGGGAATAGTCATAAGTCATAAGTTATGAAGGGGAATACATGAGCAAGGATAGGAAGACGAGGGGAAGGAAGGAGAATGGGGGAAGAGGAGGAGGAAAGAGAGAGGAAGGGGGAAGAAGAAGAAAAAAGAGGGGAAAGGGGAGGAAGAGAAGAGGAAGGGAAGAAGAGAGGAAGGAAGGAGAAAGAGGGATCGGAAGAAGAGGAAAGGAGGAGGAGAGAAGAGGAAGGGGAAGAAGAGAAGGAAGGAAGGGAGAGAGGAAAAGGAGAGAAGAGGAAGGGGAAGAGAGAAGATGAAGGGGGAAGAAGAAGAGGAAGGGGAGAGGAATAGGAAGAAGAAGAAGGGAAGAAGAGAAAGAGGAAGGGGGAAGAAGAGAAGGAGGAAGAGGGAAGAGAAATAGGAAGAAGAGGGGAAGCGGGAGAAAGAGAAAGAGGAAGAAGAGAAGGAGGAAGAGGAAAGAGGAAGAGGAAGGAGAGGAGGAGAGGAAAAAGAGAAAGAGGAAGGGGAATAGGAAAAGCAGGAAGAAATATAGGAGAGAGAAGAAAAGAGCGTAAAGTAAGAGAGGAGAGGAGAGAGGAATAAGAACAAAAAAATAGGAAGAAGAAGAGGAGGAGGAGGAGAGAAGACGTAAAGAGAAATAAGAACGAGGAGAGAGAAGGAACTCGAAGGAGAAAGAGACGAAGGGGAGAAAGAAAGAAGATGACAGGGAAGAGGATAGGAAATAAATGGAAGGAGAAGAGAGAAAGAAAAAGAAAGTAATTGAGAGATTATGAAATCAGAAAGAGGAAGAAGGAGAGGAGGAGAAAGAAAAATAGGAAATAAATAGAACACGAGAAACGGAGGAAAATAGGGTAAGAGAAAGAGGAAGAACAAAAGAAGCGACGAAGGGGAAAATGAGAGACAATAAACCGAGAATAAATACAGGATATGAACAAATGGAGAAATCACAGCAAGAAACGGAAAAAAATAAAAGTAAAAAAAGAGAAGAAATATAAGAAAGAAAGGAAGATGAGGGTAAAGAGGGAGAGAAGAAAGGAGCGACGAGGAAGGCCATTAAGAGACTTATAAGCGTCGCTCTTGTGCAGTAATCGTTGTGAGTGAAATCGCCAACGAGGGACGCACGGGGAGGATCACGAAGGGGGAGGGGGGAGGGGGGAGGGGGGCGCGATTAAGAGGAGCGATTCTGGTCAACTTGGGTCACGGCCTCTGGCTATGGCCTATGTCCCTGTCTCTGGCTCTGTCTGCCTCTGCCCCTGATTCTATCTCTGTCTCTGGCTCTATTTCTGTCCTTGGCTAAGTCTTTGGCATTGTTTCTGTTTCTGTCCCTGGCTCTGTCCCTGACTCTATCTCTGGATATGTCTCTGTCTCTGTTTCTGTCCCTATCTCTGTCTCTTGCTTTGTCTCTGTCTCTGTCCCTGGATCTTCTCTGTCTTTGTTTATGTCCTTGTCTCTGGCTCTGTTTGCCTCTGTCCTTGATTCTATCTCTGTCTCTGTCCCTGACTCTTCTCTGTCTCTGTTAGTCTCTGTCTCTGATTTTATCTCTGTCTCTGGCTCTATTTCTGTCTCTGGCTATGCCTTTGGCTTTGTCAATGTCTCTGTCACTGACTCTGTCTCTAGCTCTATCTCTGTCCCTAGCTATGTCTCTGGCTCTTGCTCTATCTCTGTCCCTGGTTTTGAATCTGCCCCTGGCTCTATTTCTGTCTGACTCGTTCTCTTGTTTTGGCTCCATCCTGCTCTCTCTCTCCCTGATCGCTCTCTCTGACTCAACAAAGAAAACTGTCACGGAAATCGGCTCCCATGACGTGACAGACACCCTGCCCGTCATGCATCATAGCCGGGATCAAGGTGGGGATATCTAGGGAAGGGCGCATGGTGATCGCATGGCGTTGCGAGAGCATCATGCAGCGTGAGAGGTGATAAATCATGCCATCAACGGAGGCGATACGAGGAGGACCAGACCCAATAAAGACCCGGATGTGAGAATCATGAGCAGCGGGACCCATCGATCCGCCGCGTCAGGAATGAGGGATGGGGCTACGGGCTTATAAGAATTATAATGATTTATTTGTTTTTATTTATTATTATTATTATTATTATTATTATTATTATTATTATTATTATTATTATTATTATTATTATTATTATTATTATTGTTCTTCTTCTTCTTCTTATTATTATTATTATTATTATCATTATTATTATTATGATAATTATTATTATCATTATTATTATTATTATTATTAATATTATTATTATTATTATTGTTATAATAATAATTATTGTTGTTGTTGTTGTTGTTGTTATCATTATCATTATTATTATTATTATTATTATTATTATTATTATTATTATTATATTATTATTATTATTATTATTATTATTATTATTATTATTATTATTATTATTATTATTATTATTATTATTATTATTATTATTATTATTATATTATTATTATTTATTATTAATCATTATTAATTATTTATTATTATTATTATTATTATTATTATTATTATTATTATTATTATCATTATTATCATTTATTATATATTATTATTTATTATTTATTATTATATATTATCTTTATCAATATCGTTGTTATTATCATTATCATTATTATTATCAATGTTATCATTAATATCATTATTACTGTTTCAGTTAGTATTATCCTCATCATAAATATCACCATTATTATTATTATCGCAAATAGCATTATCATTATTATTATTATCGATATCCTCGTCATTATCATTATTATTACAATCATTATCATCATGATTGGTATTGTTATCATTATCATTGTCATCATCATCATCATCTCTATCATCATCATTATTACTATCATCATAATCATTATCATCATCATCATTATTATTATCATTATTATAATCATCATTATGAAAATCATTATCATAAAATTTTTCTTATCCTCATTTTATTAATTATCATCGTTACCATTAGTAGTATCATTATTGATATTATTATCATAATAATTTTCAATATCATTATTATTATTATCATTATTAATATTATCATTATTATTACATTATTATATTATTATTATTATTATTATATTATTATTATTATTATTATTATTATTATTATTATTATTCATACTATCATTATTATCATCGGTATTTTTATTATCATTACCATTATTATCATTACTATCATCATCATTATCATTACCATCCTTATCATCAATATCATAATGATGATTATCATTACCATTATAATCATCATTATTTATCATTATCATTATTATCAATTACATTACTGTTGTTACATTATTGTTGTTGATGCTTTTGTTGTTGCTGTTGCTATTTTCTATTATCATTGCGAATATTTTTATCATTTTTATTACTAGAATTTGATATCAAAGTTGTCCTTATAATTTGCATTATTACGAATGTTGTTATTATCATCATTATCATTATTAATTTTTTTATGTTATCATAATCACTATTATCATTACTACTATCACTACAATTATTGTCATATTGATTATCATCATTATTATCATTATCATTATGACTATTACCATCATTATTGTTGCTATCATTGATACTATAATAATAATGATATTAATAGAAATGATAATGATGATACTACTAATAATAATGATAATAATTATCATCATCATCATCATCATTGTTATCATTTCACTGTCATCATTATCATCATCTCACAAACCCTTCCCCCCTCCCGCCCCCTCATCTTACGTCACCGCCACCCTCGCCAGCCGGGGGAGAACATCCTCCTCGTAGACCTTGTGCGTGCTGAAGGAGACCTGGTTGATGTTGGCCAGCCGCCGGATCTCCTCCCACTTCTCCTCCCCATACTCGGCCTTCACGTACTCGCTGAAGTTCTCGACCAGTAGTCCATACATGGCAGGGGCGGCAGCGTGGTCTCTGCCTGC